CACTACTTGGAGGCACAATCATGTTGGACTAGAGTTAATCGATGGTTTACATGTGCTAAAAAGGTTTCACAACGTGGAATTTTAATCGGGCTATTACCAAGTTTGATAACATGGAAGCTTTGGGGATGTCAATGCAAGGCACGTATGGAAGGGAATCGAGAATCTGCAGAGGAGGTATGGTTTGCTATAAAGGCTTGGTTGCTTCTCCTTGCTAAAGATATAGTAAAAGTTTCAAAGCTAAGCAACACAGACCACGAATTTCTCAAAGCTTTAGAGCTGCCTGTGGTTTCTAAGGTGAGTAAATCAACTCTTTTTGTTTCTTGGAGGAAACCTGCTACTGGTTGGGTAAAACTCAATGTAGATGGGAGTTCTGTTGGCAATTCGGGACCTTGTGGAGGTGGGGGAGTGATTAGGGATCATTATGGAAATTTGGTTGTTAGTTTATGGGTTAAATATGGTCATGGAAGCAACAATGAAATTGCGAGCTGTCATTTTTGGGGTAGAGCTATGTAAAGAGATGGTTTTTCAAGGAGTTGAGATTGAGTGTGATTCAGCAGTAGTGGTAAACTGGTTCACACACAATTTATGTAAGATTTGGTACTTGTGGGATTACTGGGATGAGTTATTAAATTTGCTTAGCGGCATTAGTTTCACTATCTCTCATCAGTATAGAGAAGATAATAGAGCAGCAGATCTTCTAGCTAGACAAGGGGCGGATGGCCTCACGATGAGATACACGCACTTAGACCAAATACAAAAATTGTTAAGAGGTATTATTCATATGAACAAGCTTGGTTTTCCCAACATTAGGCAATAGTTGTGCGGTTGATGTGTTAATTTTTATTTGCTTGATTAGAGCTTTTATGGAGATGTTGATAGTACGGAAAAGTCATCCATTTGTCAATCTGAAGTAATATGAGGTTAAAGAATATGCTTCAAAATTCTACGAGGATTGAGATGATGATATTACAGAAAAGCCATCCATTTGTCAATCTGAAGTATTATAAGGTCAAGAATATGCTTCAAAATTCTACGCATGATTGGACTTGATGAGGACATTTGTGTTCATTGATAGGGATATAACAGGCAATTATTCTTTTTGCACATAATTGTTTGATACAATTATTCCACAAGTACAGGGCTGCGGTCCCCTGTTGGGGGCGCCTGTGGCGGCTCAATGTGAATGCGAGAAATATAGAAACGTTTACTAGTCTTTGATATATGGACTATTCCCCTTTCCCATTTCCATTAATACTGACTTTGAATAGTCAGGTCTTTCTATTTATGGTTGCAAAGTCAGTTTACCTAAAATGAAAATATCAACTATACTTTTTACTTTGAACACTATATGTCAACTATAATTTTGCATAGGCTAATAGGCGTTAATTTAATTCTGCTAATGTTAGATTCTGTTGGGCTAATCTGTCGAATTGAACATGCTTATGAAATTTTAAACCCCCAAATTTAGATACCTAGATTTGAAAGTATTAACATTTCATTTATATCGCAAGTGTACGATATCGTAACAAGTAATATAGTGGACTCTGAATTATTGTTCCCACAAAGACTATACTTTAGGTCTTAATCTACTTTTTCTAAATTCTATTTGACAAAAGCAAATAAATATTTATGATGATTGTGATTTGTTTGACTAACTACTTTTAGCAAATTGAAAATATAAAATGATTGCAAACAACGGATAATTGAAGAATCAAATATTAGATGAATATTATGGCATAGCAATTTCATCTATTGATCACCTTTATTCTTAATTCAAGATTCATAACCTAATGTAGAGATCGATCGAATTTCTATTGTATTCAATTTACCCCTCATTAGATTTCATTGAGCCTATTTAACTAATTCAATTACATATCTCTATGTGAATCAATTTTAGTTCAATAAAACACCAATTCTAAGAATTCATATTATGATTGCAATTATTAGTATATGTATCTCTACATGTTATGCTAGTTTACCGAATTTTATTAAATGGTCTAAATCTCAAACTCACATCTCGATTCGTTCGAGACTCACTTAATCATCAAATTATTGTTCAGGTAATTTAATGCATTAAACACATAATANTCGTTTCACCCTTTTTCTCTACACGTTATACTAATTTATCGGATTTTATTATATGGTCTAAATCTCAAACTCACCTCTCGATTCGTAAGAGACTCACATAATCATCAAATTATTGATCAGATAATTTAATACATTAAACTCATAATAAAACCAACACATAAATAAATAAATTACATAAATTTTAAATTAAAAAAAAAATAAAGAATCACAAGTCAACTACATTGTTTTCTCTAATATAAAAATTAGTTATTCATATTGTAATAATAAAAACTCGCAAAACCGGAAAGATATCATCAGAAATTGACAACACGTGAAAATTTTTGGTGTCTGCAATTTACTTTCTTTTTCCCTTTTTCTCTCTTTCTAGCGGAAATTTCTAGAATCCTTATTTATTTCAACATTTTCCTACAACATGAAATCTCCCCAAATTATTTTAAATTTGGTCTAAGAATGTATAATTTAGTGGTTCTGGATTTAGCATCTATGGTCCACTACTTCAACCTATCCAATTATGAAATCAACTCATTCGTACACAATGCTTAACTTAATTCATGTGCTCAATATATATTAGATTTTTACATGGAAAAGCAAAAATTAGTCTAAGTATGCAACTTATTCACAATTCACTATTCAAATATTCATCATTGTCAGCCAGACCAGCTAACTCATACGATCACACAATTTTTTTTTACTAAAGCAATAAAAGCACAAAAAAAAAACTCATGTTTTCCACCCCTGAACTTAAACCAAACATTGTCATCAATGTGTTTAATCTTAAATCCACATATAAAGGGATGGGGAAGTATGACTTGTAATTCAACGGCTAACTTTCCTATTACTCCCGTTGGCTCCTTGGTCAATATTGGTTTAAATGTTCCGCGATGTCATGTCCCTGAAAAATCAAACAAAGCATTAAGATCAAATAATTGGAACAAGTGTTACTTAGTTCTAACATCTAATAAATCAACTAACATATCCAAAATATAAGAAAAAAGAGGTATGGATGACGAGTCATAAATAAACTTAAAAATAAACTAAACTATCATAAAACTGAAAAGGAAAATAAATAAAAAGGAAAAAAAACATGGGTTGCATCCCAAGAAACGTTTCTTTAATGTCGTTAGATTGACTTTGTACCATATTTGATCGTGGTGGCTCGAACCAAGTTATGTCATAATTGCATTTTGTGCAATTCTCATTTATGCACCCTTTTTGCTCTCCATATTTTGATATTTCCATTTTTATCTCTACCAAGAAGTCCACCNCCCCAAACTTAAACTAGACATTCTCGTCAATGTCTTTTATCCTAAATTTGCATATAAAGGGGTGGGGACGAAAGCGAAGAAAAAATTCCCCTGATATGGCGTGTAATTCAATTGATAGCTGTCCTATTGCTCCCATTGGCTCCTTGATAAATATTGATTTAAATGTTTCGCGACATAGTGCTCCTGAAAAATCAAATAAAACATTAAGATCAAATAATTAGAACAAGTGTTACTTAACTCTAACGTCTAATAAACCAATGATCATATAAAAGACCTAAGGGGAAACGAGGTATATATGATGAATCACAACTAGCTTAACATAAACTAAACTATCTTAAAAATAAAAAAAAAAATAAAATAAATAAAGAAGAAATCATGGGTTGCTTTCCAAGAAGCGCTTCTTTAAAGTCATTAGCTTCACTTTTTGCACAAGTGTGTCATGGCACTTTGAATATTGCTTTGGAAGCCATGTTTAACTTGTTTAATTTGAGTTTGTTGATTGCTCTTCTTCATGTAGTATGACTTTTTCTCATTGCCCATTTTGAATTCAACAATATATA